CAGCCGCAAAAAAAAAAAAACAAAAGAACAAATAAAGAGTTGTACTGGCGGGTCGGCCCATGGCTCACTCGGGAGAGTGTGGTGCTGATAACACCAAGGCCACAGGTTCGGATCCCACATAGGGATGACTGGTTAGCTCACTGGGTGAGCGTGGTGCTGACCACACCAAGTCAAGGGTTAAGATCCCCTTACCGGTCATCTTTTAAAAAAAAAGAGTTGTACTGGCAAGTCATGACTGGACCACTCTTAGAAAATATTCCATGAATTGTGGCAATTTTCAAAAAATGCCTGAGCAAATGTGGTACCTGTTATTGAAATAAAGCTTTCATTTTTACAACATTTCTCTGGGTAAAGATAACAGAATGGTTAAATAAATACTAAATAACTAGCTAACTTCTAGAATTTATGCTAACCCTTTTCCTTTGAGTTTTTTTTTTTCTTTGAAATTTTGATCATAACTCTGAAATACATTTTAAGAGAACCAGAAAGTTTATAATTTTGTCAGACTAAAATAAAGCTTTTTTTTTAAGACTCCATTCTAGCTACATGTTTCATTCCTTCTGGGGATAGTATTTCTTCCTTTTCCTTCTCCCAATATTCTGGAATTTATATAGAACTAAAAGAGTTTATTCTTTCTAGGAAACTTCTTCCCATTTCATTCATTCATTCAATTAATTAATTGAATTTTATCTGGGTATCTTTGTGTCCTTTTACTTGTTTTCAGATACCTTAACTTTCTTTGTCTTTGTATGCATTTTAAAATGGCAGTAATAATAGTTCATACCTCACTGGGTTTTTCTAAGTATAAAGTGCTTAGAAAAGTTCCTGGCACACACATAGTAAGTGCTCAATAAATGTTAGCCATTATTATACTTACTGTTTTTATTACTACCTTTACCTTTTGAGCTGTCTGGGCTTATGGTCTATGTGCTGTTTGAGCTGACATTTTCAATAAGCATGTAGAAATCAGCTTGAAATGGTTTAAACATAATACCACATGGAGGCAGGGTGAAGTACTGAGATTTTTCTACTAATCCACTTATGATGCTAATTTGATCTCTCCACAGAGAAATTTCTTCTGCTCTAGAAATAAATACATTTTCTGAGCCGGCCCAGCCCATGGCTTACTTGGGAGAGTGTGATGCTGATAACACCAAGGCCATGGGTTCAGACCCCATATAGAGATGGCCAGTTAACTCACTTGGGAGAGCGTGGCACTGACGACACCAAGTCAAGGGTTAAGATCCCCTTACTGGTCATCTTTTAACAAAAAAAAAAAGAAAAGAAATAAATACATTTTTTAACTTCTCCCAGTAGGAAAGAATTACAAAATACAGTGTACCCCAAAATAACATTTTTTTTTTTTTAAAGATGACCGGTAAGGGGATCTTAACCCTTGACTTGGTGTTGTCAGCACCACGCTCAGCCAGTGAGCGAACCGGCCATCCCTATATGGGATCCGAACCCGTGGCCTTGGTGTTCTCAGCACCGCACTCTCCCGAGTGAGCCGCAGGCCGGCCCCCCAAAATAACATTTTTTATGAGCCCAGTACAAACTTACACATACCATACACGAAACATTATATTTTAAATTTTCTCAGGACAAATTCTTAAGGAACGTCTGTCCCCATCCTACCCCAACAACACCACAGTGGCATGATTTAGTGCCTCCTCATTCAAAGTGTTGTCCGTGGACTATCAGCATCAGCATCACCTGGGAGTTTGTCAGAAATGCAGAATTTTAGGCCCTGTGCTGGCATACTGAATCAGAACCTGCAGTTCCATAACCCCCCCAGGTGATTTGTATTTACAGTAAAGTTTGAGAAACACTGATCTTATTGAGGTTCAGCTTTCTCTCTTTTTTCCCCCCTTGCTCTAGTGGGCCAGGATAACTTCAAACATTTTACAAATGGGTCATGGTTTCTCAATCCCTGCAATATTGACATTTTGGGCTGAATAATTCTTTGTTGTAGGATGCTGTCCTGTGTACTGCAGGATGTTTCCTTGCATTCCTGGCCTCTTATGCCAGTAGCATTCCCTCTCAAAGCAGTTGTGACGACCAAAAATGTCTCCTTCTTCTCTATTTTTATACTTTTTTTTTCTTTCTTTCTTTCTTTCTTTTTTTTTTTTTTTGGTGGCAGACCGGTAAGAGGATCCAAACCCTTGACCTTGGTGTTAGAAAATTTTACCTTCTGGGCTGGCCCGTGGCTCAGTTGGTAGAGTGTGGTGCTGATAATACCAAGGTCACGGGTTTGGATCCCTATATAGGGATGGCTGGTTCGCTCACTTGGGAGAGCGTGGTGCTGACAACGCCAAGTCAAGGGTTAAGATCCCCTTACCGGTCATCCTTTAAAAAAAAATTTTTTTTTACCTTCTAATCTACCTGTAACGTGCCCTAAATGTCGGTGGCTGACGATGTTGTTTTGTGAGACAACATTGGATTGTTAAATGTTTGGGGGCAAGGGTGAGGGGGATGAGGGGGGTAAAATTGCCCTCTGCTGAGAACCACTGAAATAGATTCACTAACTTTGCTAGGTTCTGAATTTCTTTTAAATTCAAAACACCTCATAGAAAGTTTTTATTGTCGTTGTTAGAATATATTGTTTATTATATGAAAATAAGGCTTTGAAACATAATTTTGATAAAATATTATCAAAACCTGATAATATATTACTACTCTTGTCTGCTTTTTTTTTTTTTTTTTTTCTTTTTTGTCTTTTTCCGTGTCCAGCAACGGATCGCAACCCTCAGTGTTGCCCCTGTACCGGACCGGGGACCGGCAACGGGACCACAACCCCCGGTGCCGCTCCCACGCCTCGCTCAGCCAGTGAGCGGGAACCGGTCTGTATGCGGGATCCGAACCCTCGGGCGGGAGCGCCGCCACGCTTCCCAAGCGGCGCACTATCCAGTGCGCCACCGGGCCGGCCCTCTTGTCTGCTTTTTAAACTTGGTGATAATACCCGAATCTCTTCTTGTGATGAGGCAATTAGATCAGCAGGCAGACAGAATGATGTAGGGCAAAGAATCAGACCTACTAAGTGGTGAGAATTAAAGAACGTTTAATAGGCCTCATTTAGAGTGGCATCTAGTAGCTTTTCTCTTTTTTTTAGTCACAGAGTCATAGAATTTCACATCTGGTAGCATCTATTCTGTCAACAACATTTATTTCCAGGGCTTCATATGATTGCAAAAAAAGATTAATTTATTAACAAATATTTATTAAGCGCCATTAAGAATTTGGCACAAAGCCCCTGCCTTTAAGGAAATTTATGGGTGATTGGGAATTGACATCCTAATTCCACCCCATTCCCCTGCAGATTTACCCATTTCAGAATATAGTAACTCCACCTTTCCAGTCTCTGAAGCCAAAATCCATGGAGTAATCCTTGAATCCTCTCTTGACATTCCATTCCAATCCAATCCTGTAGGAAGTCCTTTTGACCCTACTTTCAGAATATATTCAGAATCTGAACACTTCTGTGGCTACCACCCTAGAAGCAATCCCTGGATTATTGCAGTCTCCTAACAGATCTCCCTGTTTCTACCCTTGGCTCCTCAGGCTATTCTTATCACAGAAGCTAGCATGATCCTATCAAAATTCAAAGTCAGGTCAAGTCATCAAGTCTCTGTTCAAACACTTTGATGGCTCCCAATCTCATTGAGAAAAAAAGCCAAGGCATTTACATTGGCCTATGGTAAGGCCCTACAACATCTGCTCCCCTACCCGGCACCCTTATTGCCCTGACCTCATCTCCCTCTTGTTCAGTCAACTCTGATCACAACTGGTCTATTTGATAGTCCTTAACACACAGTGGTGTGATGGTAAATGTTTAACAGCAGGCTTTCAGGGGAAGAAGTCCTGACTTTTAGCCAACTTCCGTGGTATAAACACTGCCACTGTGGCCAACTTCAGGCTACCAATGTGATGTCACAAATTTTGGAGTGTGAAGAGAGGCGCTTTGACACATCATTATACAATATATCCATCATTCAGATATCACTAATATAAATAACCTCGAGCATAGATAATAGTAAAGTACAATTACATACTTAGGAAGTGATAAATTTTGAGTATTTATTACTTTTGTTTGTGATATAATTTATTTATTCATGGTAAACTTATATAATTTAATTTTTTATAATGTGTGCATTTGACAACAAGCTTGTAAAATTCCTGGAAACTTAACAATTGGCTCCCAGGAGCCAGGACAAGCTTGCTCTAGCACACCGCTGTTAATAATACACGAAATACACTCCTGCCTCAGGGCTTTTGTTTTTCCATGTGCCTAGAAAGCTGTTCTCCCAAATACTTGTGAGGACTTCTTCCTTCACCCCCTTCAGCTCTTTGTTTGAATGTTACTTTCTGGGTGACGCCTTCCCCAGTCATCCTATCTAAAATCGCATCCCCCCCACACTCCCTATTCTGCTTCCCTGATTTATTTTTAACCTTAGCACTTATCACCATACAGCACACTATTTCTCTGACTTATTTAGGTTATTTACTTCTAGTGTCCTCCATTAGACTCAAAGATCAATGAAAGCAGGGATTTTTGCAGGATTTTTCTCCCCTCTCAAATCCTCAGTACTTAGAACAGTGACTGATAAATAGTGGGCTCTCAATATAATATGGGTTGAACTAATAGATTAGTGTCCTATCTTCATTTCCTTTACTTTATTTCCTTTTCTGTTTCTCATTATTAAATATATAATGGAATATTCTTACGTGAGAAAGAAATGGCTTATCTTTCCAACCCATGGGTACTAACTTTACCTTCCCTACGTGATTTGCTTCTTATATATTGCAATGGACTGAATGTTTGTGTCTCCCCCCACCCTCCCCAATTCATATGTTGAAATCCTCACCCCTGATGTGATGGTAATAGAAAGTAGAGCCTTTGGGAGGTTATCAGGTCATGAGGATGGAGCCCTCAGGAATGTGATCAGTGCCCTTAAAAGGGGACTCCAGCAATTTTTTTTTTTTTTCTTCATGTGAGAGTACAGGGAGAAGTCAGCAGTCCGCAGTCCTGAAGAGGGCCCTCACCAGAACTGGACCATGCTAGGCATGCTAGGCATCTTCACTTTGGACTTCCAGCCTCCAGAATTGTGAGAAATAAATGTTTGTTGTTTAAGCCACTCAGACTATGGTACTTTGTTATAGCAGCCCAAACTGACTATTATAGCGGACCTATACTCTCAGCTCATTATTTTTATTTTTGGTTTAGAAATACTTCAGCAAGGGCCGGCCCGTGGCTCACTCGGGAGAGTGTGGTGCTGATAACTCACTGGGTGAGCGTGGTGCTGACAACACCAAGTCAAGGGTTAAGATCCCCTTACCGGTCATCTTTTAAAAAAAAAAGAAAAGAAAAAGAAATACTTCAGCAAAAATAACTGTAGCTTCCCCTGTCCTATCTGAGAATAGTCCTAGGTAAATGAGACTTCATCTCTGATTTCTACACGAGTAAGAGAATCTGGAAACCATTGTTGAATGTCACCTCATAGAACTGTATACATTTCTCAGACTGTCAAACCATAACTTCTAGATTTAACAGCTTTGTCAGATGGTTTTTTGTTATGTTCTCAAAAAGGCAGCACCTCATGTTCAGAAAACTGCTGATTCTGATTGATTTGAGGTTTCTTTTATTTTTTTGGCAGCTGGCCGGTACAGGGATGTGAACCCTCAAACCTTAGTGTTATAAGACCATCCTTTAACCAACTGAACTAAACAGCCAACCCAATTTCAGGTTTCAAAGACTCCATGTAGATTATTCACTGAAGTCTTGGTGACATGCGGAGTTCAGTACCACAGACAGAATATTCAGAATTTTCCATGAACATTCTCAATGCTGTAAATTGAGCTAGATAGGAATAGGATTGCAACCTGAACTATGCCTTCCCAGCAAATTTTTTCTTGAAAAGGATATCCCTTCTTTGCCACCCTGACACTACAGCATCAAACACAATTATATTTTTGTCCAAGTTAGATTGGTAATGTTTTTTTTTTTTTTTTAAAAGATGACCGGTAAAGGGATCTTAACTCTTGACTTGGTGTTATCAGCACCACACTCACCCAGTGAGCTAACCGGCCATCCCTATATAGGATCCGAACCCGTGGCCTTGGTGTTATCAGCACCACACTCTCCCGAGTGAGCCACAGGCCGGCCCGAGATTGGTAATGTTTTTGAAATCTAAGGATGTGATATACTATTTGATGAAGCATTTTTAAAAGGAAAAGAAAAACAATTTCGTTATAAGATATTCACAAAGAAATATTTCTCCCAGGGCTTCCCTTCAGGGCCTTACAAAATCACAAATATGCCTGAGATTCACTGGGAGAAAATGCCCATGAAATTGTGAAATTAGGCTCAATACATGAATATGCACAGTGAGCCAGACTCGTGGCATGTTTAGTCCAAGTACCTGTTTTTTATGGCTGGTAGGAAAAATTCATGTTGCAAGGTTATTGCTGTATGCTTGAGAACAAAGTGTTATTAATTTTCTCAAAAATAGCAAAATGACCAATTTCATTATTAAAATGGATTTATTGTATAATTTTACTTTAAAAATTTTAAACTAGGGCCGCTCGTGGCTCACTCGGGAGAGTGTGGTGCTGATAACACCAAGGCCCCGGGTTCGCATCCCATATAGGGATGGACGGTCAGCTCACTGGGTGAGCGTGGTGCTGACAACACCAAGTCAAGGGTAAAGATCCCCTTACCGGTCATCTTTTAAAAAAATAAATAAATAAATAAAAATAAATAAATTTTAAACTAAATTATATGGGCATTTAATCTTTTGTGTATTTCTTGAAGAACTCACAGTCAATGAAGATTGTTGTCTTCAGAGGCAAAAGTTCAAATTAAAATGCAAAGATTGCTTATTTGAATCATCAGCCTCTAGTGTGGCCTTAAAGAACTTTCTTACAACTATGTGTTATAATTTCATTATCTATAAAATTACTATTATTATTTTTTCATCATCTATAGATGGAAATAGCAAGTATCTATGGCTTTGGTAGGGAATAAATAGGCACTGTTCATATATTTTGGTGGGAATGTAAATTGATACAATCTTTTTAAGGGACACTTTGACAGGACCTATCAAAAAATACACGTGCCAGGGCCAGCCCGTGGCTCACTCGGGAGAGTGCGGTGCTGATAACACCAAGGCCCCGGGTTCGGATCCCACATAGGGATGGCCGGTTCGCTCACTGGCTGAGCGTGGTGCTGACAACACCAAGTCAAGGGTTAAGATCCCCTTACCGGTCATCTTTTAGAAAAAATAAAAATAAAAATACACGTGCCTTTGACACAGTAATTCCACTTTTAGGACTTTAACCTAGAGATATATTCACGTTTGTACCCAAAGATAAATGTACAGGGAAATTCACTGCAGCATTATTTGTAAGAGGGAAACCTGGAAATAGCCGATTGTCCTTAGCAGGGAAATGACTGAATCATTTATGGTACTGAGAAGATGGGAAGGCTATGGGGCTGCTAATGAAGCTGAGGTGGATTTATACATTCTGATTAGTTAAGTAAAAAGCAAGTCGCTCAACAATATGTGTAGTATGATGTCCTATATTGAACAAAACACAAAGCAAATATGTTTGTAAATTCACAGGGCAGGAAGAAGGCTTGAGGGTCATATGAAGAGGACTTTCACTTTTTACCATAAGTACTTCTTTCTGCTGTTTGAACTGTTAACTATGATCATGTATTACTTTTTAAATTAAAAGCTATTTTGGGCCGGCCCGTGGCTCACTCGGTAGAGTGCGGTGCTGATAACACCAAGGCCACGGGTTTGGATCCTATATAGGGATGGCCGGTTTGCTCACTGGCTGAGCGTGGTGCTGACAACACCAAGCCAAGGGTTGAGATCCCCTTACCGGTCATCTTTTAAAAAAAAATAAATAAATAAATAAATTAATTAATTAATTAAAAGCTATTTTTATTTAATTTTTTT